AGCTTAAGAATAAGTTGCTCTAATAACATTGGATTCAACAAATGTTGTTCACAGTTTGCTGACCTCAAGAACGCGACGACGTTTCGAACTTGATTTGATAATTCAACAACTTTTTCAAGTTGGGTTTCACTAATAGCTGGAAACTGTTGAATTTTTTGCATTTGAACTCTTATCAGTAAATCTGGGCGACCAAAATTAAATTGTAGCTCTTCCAACACAAGAGGCACATTGTCGGGATAAATTAACAATGAAGAAACTACACGCTTAGCATGACCATGTAATGCTTTATGAAGTCGCATTAGATTCTGCCTATTATTGTATCCAAATTCGGTAGTGGTATCTCTGTAGCTAGCTCTAAACAAAGGCCAATCCTCTGGGTTGCCATCGAAATTTGGCAAAGGATACAATTTAGCTGCTGCGTTGTCAACAAAAGACACCATGCCCCTTTGTTGCAATGTTGAGTTCGGCGGTTGCATAAATTGAGACTGTGGTATGGAGTTCGAATCTGTCTGGCGATAATGTATTGATTGCTGAGGAAATCGTGGTACTGATGGCTGCGAATATTCAGCTTGCGACTGTGGACAATATGGTCCCGACTGTAAATTCCTCATAGTTGTAGACACAAACGACGACGGCATATGCTGGTTAGATGTATTATGTGGCAAAATATTGTTGAAGTGCTCCTCAGTAGCGGAAGCTGTTATATTTACATTATTCTGTAAATTTCTCACGGCCGTAGTTGTAGGTAACGATGATAGCATATGCTGGCTAGCTGTATTATCTGGTAAAATATTGTTGAAGTGCTCCCCAGTAGCGGAAGCTGTTGCATTTACATCAGTATTGTCTGAAGGCTTATTTGGCATATGAGATGCGGCAATGTTGTTGTCACCCATCCTGACTTCGTTTTTAATTTGTTGTGTTTCACGGCTTAGCTCGCTTACGGACTCCTTCAAAGTATTAATGCTTGCCAACAATGCGGCAAATTGATCGTGCGTTATGACACAATTCGATGAATTTTCCATTGTATTTCTTTCAACAAAAGTATTGTCTAAGCTATCAGAGTCATTTGACATTTCTTCTATTTCTGTTGCTACACTCTGCTCAATAACCTTTTCGTTTTCTTTTGCTTGATTTCTTGTCAGCATGATGTTCAGCAACTGAACCAAATGAAAGCAAGCGAGACAAAATTACTTGTAAATATGTATTTACACATCTGTATTTAAAAGGAATTTCTAGAACTGCAAACTTCTGGTTGCGAACTGATTGCAAGGCCTGCTTATAACTACGACTGAAAAACGTTGACTGCGATGCTCAATGTACACTACGATAACTGAGTTTATGAGTTGATTCGACGATTTCAACTAGACTACGCTGGCTGCGAAGCTAAATGTTGAACGTTTTCTGTACAGCTCAATGTTGAACGACGTTGACTGCATGCTCAAATGCTGGCGCCTGTGGCTGCGAACTCAATGCTGAACGTTTCTGTACAGCTCAATGTTGAACGACGTTGACTGCATGCTCAAATGCTGGCGCCTGTGGCTGCGAACTCAATGCTGAACGTTTCTGTACAGCTCAATGTTGAACGACGTTGACTGCAAAACTCGATGCTGGCGACTTTGGCCGCGAAACTCGATGCTGAACGTTTCAACAACTGACGATTTGAATTTCTTTTACGCAGCACACATACAATTCCAAATACTGCACGAGATGGAAAGAATGACACAAGATAATATACGATGACTGGATGACGCGTCGAACTGATCGACAAATATGGCTGACCCTTCTGCCAATCTTCGTAAGTCGGTTCATTCGTGGAAAATATGTATGTATGTATTTTATGCAAAGACAATTCGGTATAACTCGAATGTACCAATGTTGTAAGCAAATTTGTAACTTAATGTCGACGAAATGAATAAACAAACCGTTTAAAACGCCTTTAAGGCAGAACTTCAAACTTTATTTTAATTTAATTGACACTTTAGCGCATGCTAGTGCGCGTTACAAATTTGGTGCTTACTCTACGACGAAGTGAAAAAGATGCTCGCATTCAGTGCAGAGTTGCCATGTCGTTGTATCGTGGCGAAGAGTTGCCATGTGATTGTATTGTCTTGCTGACACCGATAGCATCGAAATTGTTATTTAAGGTTATTGGTTCGTGCTGGATAGAATTGTGAATAAGTATGGCAGCCCCTCCAAAAGCGTTGGAGGTGTTGAGGGTATAAATGGAGAAGTTAATTGGGATAGGAATGGGTGAATTGGGTTGGATATGCGTTTCCTGTAGGGCCATTACCTTTAAGTTATGTTTCTTTATTAACAACAATAGCTCATTATAATTGTTAACATAGCCGCTAATATTCCATTGTAGTATCTCAAGTTTCATATCTTAGGTTGCAGATAAAAGATCGTAACCTTTGATGTATTGTTGCTGTATACGTAAATGTAAGTCTAAGTATAGGTAAATTATAATTTGTAGTTGTGTTGTATAAGTTGATTGATAATAGATATTTGTGTGAATGATAAATAATAGTCGTAAGAAAAGGGCTAAATATTTTCTTTTGGATCAGCTCAGAAAACTTCTTCGCTTTCGTAATTAGTTGTTGCTTTGCCAGACTGTTTGACATTAGTTTTCGTACTTGGTTTGTTTAGTTGAATTTGGTTCAGAGTCGGAGTCAATTACAACATCGCTGTAAGTGGCGACTGGCCGTCCGTGTTGATTTGTAGTGCTGATGGGTGAGTTGAGTTGAGCTGGTCGAGGTGGAAACGGTGGTAATACGGTTGTTGGTTGAGATTGGCTATTAGCTTCAATCGGTGGCTGGGTGGTAATAACAGAAAGGTATGTGGCATGATCGTGTTGGTGACGTTCTTGATAAATGGTGAAGGCAGTCTTGTTATCAACTTTGAGTGTTGTTTTTATTGCTTGCAGCTCTTGCTGTTTAATAAATATGGGACACTTCTTGTCAATAGCTGCGTGGTCGTTTGGAGTAATTTTGGATTTAGTGCAGTTGATGCACAGTTTAGTGTTTCTACACTCTTCTTTACTTTCTGAATTTAAATGGTAGTCTTTTGCACAGAAAGGGCATGTTTTGTTATTTTTACAGAATTTTGAGATATGTCCATAGTAAAAGCAATTGTTGCATCTGAGTGGTCGCGGTATATGCGGTCGGATATTGAGTTTTTCATAGCCAATACGAATATCTTCTGGTAATGTAGTTGAATTGAATGTTAAGATCACTAGTCCCGTCTCTATCAAGGTATTGTTATCTTTTTTAAGGATTTTTTCCTCTTGGCACACGTTTTGCGATTTAAGTTCCTCCAAAATTTCGTCTTGGGGGATGTCACGGTGGGCGTTACAGTAAATGACACCTTTGGAATAATTCAATGTTTTGTGCTCAGTAATTTGAATTGTAATTTCGTTAGAAAGAGCAGTTAATGTTATTAATTTATTTGCTTGAACATGATTTTTTGTTTTTATTAAGACACTTCCACTACGAGTTTTCTTACATCCTTCAACCTCACCACTGCACGTAATGTCGACAGCCTTTTTAAGTAAATAGGGGGAAACGTTGGAGAGTGTATTAATGTTGTTGGTTCTGGTCATAATGAGATATTTTGGTCCTAAGCTTAAAAATTTTGGTTTTATGGTTTTGTTCCATTGCAATAAAGGTTGATTGAAAGGTTTTGCTATATTAGGAGGGTCGTTCATGTTGTTCAATGTTAGTGGAGCCGAAACTATTGTAAATTCTCACTACACTTGTTTTTTTTTTCTCCTTCCTTTTTGGTCTTGTTTGTTTACTAGTTACTAGTGCACCACGTCTGCACGTGGTGTTTGTTTTTGGTGGTTTAGTTTTTATGTATGTTAATATTCTTGTGTATTTGTTGGTTTCACAGTATGGTACGCAAATTTTTTATTTTTTTTGTTCTTTTGGTTTATGTTTCTTCACTATTGATAGCTGGTGGAAACTGATTAGTTAAGCTGACGATTAGAAATGATCTTATCACAACGAGAGTCGCCACTGTACTGGCGCCTTGGCGAGGGCTCCTCTGCAAGCAAGTGACTGTTCGGGAGTCCAGAGTCTGTGGCTCTCTAGCAAGAATTGTTTGCAGACTATTGTGTTGTGCTTCCTTATGGAAAGAATTTGCGCCTCGTCATGTTCATGACGTTCTGGCGACATCAGAAGACATCCGGTCGCTGTCCGAAGTGCTTTGTTCTGTGTTGTCTACAGCTTCATCCACTGCGTCCTACTGGTACCCGGTGACCACATTAGTGCTGCGTAATTTAGAACCGGCCGGCCGATTGCGTTGTATGTTGCCAGGAACGTTTCTTTGTCTTTGCCCCAGGTACTGCCGGCTAGCGACTTGAGGACCTTGTTGCGGATCTATACTTTGTTGACAATTACGGTTGTGTGCTAGGAAGAGGAGAGTAGACTGTCGAAAGTTACTCCGAGTATTTTTGGGTTATACACCGTCGGAATCGGTGTGTCATCAACGTGAATACCCAGAGGTAGTCTGACCTCCTTCGTCCAGGTGGTAAACAAGGTAGCCGCTACTTTTGTAGGGGAGAGGGTTAGGCTCCTAGCAGTGAATAAACGAGAAAGCTCGGAGAGAAACCCGTTTACTTTCGAGCACAAGTCATCAATTCCATTCCCAGACGCCAATATTGAACAATCATGAGCGTAAGAGACAATCGAGACTCCGTCTGGTGGTTGAGCAAGCTTGGAAATATAATAGTTAAACAATAATGGGGAAAGGACACCACTCTGTAGAACCCCCTGTTCTATTTTTCTAGGTTTGCTCGATTTGTCTCTATACATTACTGACGAGTGTCGACCACTCATATAATTCGCCGACCACCGTTTGGGTCTCTGTGGGAGACAGGAGGCCTCTATGTCTTCTAGAAGCGTGGAGTGGCTGACGGTATCAAAAGCCTTTGACACATCCAACGCTACTAGAATAGTACTCTCACAGGGGCGGTTGCGGGTAAGGCCACGTGTTATCTGAGTGTTCGTGGCGTTAAGTGCCGTTGTTGTGCTGTGCACTTTACGGGAACCATGCTGATGCTTCGCTGGGGTCAGGTGGTTCGCAAAATGCGGGCGTAGCAAGGCCTCTAGTGTCTTCGCTACCGGGGAAAGGTAGCGTGTAAGTTCCGAAGAAAGCCAATTGATAAAAAATTGATTGCAATAGAATAGCGAATTATTTTTCAAAGGAAGGAGACATACTTTCTTCTACAATGAAATTAAGCGCAAAATCCTAAGATCTACAGATATCCACAAGTCCATGAATTAGAAATTCAGAAACAAATAAGATAAGTGTTAGAACGCAATATAATTAAAGAGAGCACTTCTGCCTACAACAGTTATTTGTGGGTAGTTCCCAAAAAGCGGATAAATGCGGAAGTAAAAAATCGCGTATTGTCATAGATTACAGAAGATTAAACGAAATTACTGTAAGCGATAATTTCCCGATACCCAACATTGATGGTATCATGGACAAATCAGGAAGTGCTCAATATTTTTCCTCCATTGACCTCGCTAAAACGTTTCACCAAATATTGGTCGATGAAGTGATAAGAAGAAAACAGCGTTTTCTACCCCGTTAGGGCATTATGAATTTTTGAGGATGCCCCTTGGCCTCAAAAATGCTCCATGGACATCAGTCCCGCGTCTTATGAAGTCAGAGCTCCGAGATTTCATAAACAAGATCTGTGTTGTCTATTGAGATGACATCCTGATTTTTAATACCTCTTTGTCAGGGCATATGCAAAATATGAGAAAAATACTCTAAAAATTATAAGAAGCGAAATTGAAAATACGATTATAAAAATGCAGTTTCCTAAAAAAGAAGCAGACTTTTTAGGTCACTTATTAACACCTGAGGGGATAAAACCAAACCCAAATAAGGTTGAAGCCATACAAAAATTAAAGTAACCCACTTCACAAAAACAAATAAAATCCTTCCATGTCACTGAATTCAAGTGCGCAAATTTCCTGTTTTTATAGGGGCTAACTGTTTTAAATGTTAATGAATCTATTCTCTACATCAATTTTAGCTCTAAGAGGGATGAGAAAATTTTGGCCTATTATAGCTTCATAATTTTTGCTGTTAAAGTCAATCACCTTCCATGAGAAGGTGCCTGAGACATTAAATTCATGAGGTATGGGAGTCATTATTTTGTGCGTCACTTGATTAATAGCATTTATAGTTCTGTACCAAAGGGGTGTTGGAAGTTTTTGTTTAGGAAAATGATTTCACAGGGCAACACTGATTTTGGTGCGGCAAATGTTAAATCAGTTTTTGATAGACTTTTTTGAGCTGATTACGAATCCGTAATTATAAAGATTCCAATATTCCAATATTTGATAAGCTCGAGCAAAGAGTAAAAATGTGGTAGAACCTTCCACTTAAGCCTAACTTAAAGCTAGAACCCTAGGCTACTGCCCCTGAAAATACCATCCCTGCACCTTTACTTGATGGTGATTTATAGTCATTTGTTGAACAATAAAAAAAATTCTGGCAAATTGTGCCATTGAAAAAACAAAAATGCTGCCAAAATCAGCTTTTGCTGTTCAATTAACGACTACAAGTGATCTTAGGGTCAAGACGAAGAGATGGTATTTTTAGGGATTGTAGTCGAAAGTTCAAGCCTTAATCTAAGCCTAAGTGAAAGGTTCTATCACCTTTTTACTCTTTGCTATAGCTTCTCAAATATTGCAAAAGCCCGATTTTTTGACACTTTGACCTCGATTTTCTCAAAACCTGTACGTGTTGGATCCTTTGTACTTACGGATTCGTAATCAGCACAAAAAAGTCTATCAAAAATAGCTTTAACATTTGTCGCACCAACATTTTTTTTTTCATTTTTGTTGGCCTGTGTTATCGAGCATATTTAATTTAATTAAGCTTGTATCGGAACCTGTATCTATGAGACATATAAATTCCTTACAGCCAACTGTTATCTATATCTATTATTATTATTATTATTATTATTATTATTATTATTATTATATTATTATACTATTATATTATTATTATATTAATATTATTATTATTATTATTATTATTATGATTATTATTATTATATTATACTAATAATATAAAGAGAAAAGGGACTTCTCTGTAACAGGAATGGCGAACGACTGGTCCGATTTTCGTGAAATTTTGTATATAAATAGCTTTCAGCAACCACCATGTTTTAGGCCAAAAATTTTTTGGCGGTAGGTGGACCAGGGACCGATCTATTCGATAAAATCTTATTATGGTCAGATCTGCTTAAAATTTGGTTCGGGGGTAGCTTTTTACCTGTACTACCATATAGGATCCTTTTCTTTCCGCGAAGTGGACCAGGGCCGATCTATTCGAAAAAATCATATTTATGGTCCGATTTGCTTAAAATTAGGTATGTAGGTAGCTTTTTGCCGAGATTAGCATATGGGATCCTTTTTTTTGCGAAGTGGACCAGGGACCGATCTATTCGAAAAATCGTATCTATGGTTAGATTTGATTATATATTTTGCAAACCGTTTTTTTAGTGTTCGTTCAAGAACGGCTGAACCTATTTTTTTGAAACTTCAGACACCTGTCCCAAGGATGGTTAAAGGCTAAAAAAATTGTATATGTAAACGTGGCAATTCCAATAGAAACCGAATTTTTCATACTCCATATCTCTGGAAGTGTTTATGGTAGAGTTCTGGAACTTCGTATGGAGATATACGAAATCAATCGCATACTCTTGGAGAATAATTTGAGCTATTGGAAAAGTGGGTGTAGAACCTCCCATACAAACGTAATTTCTCATACTACATATCTCTGAAAGTGTTCATGGTAGAGTTCTGGGTCTTGGTATGGAAATATACGAAATCAATCGCATACTCATGGAGAAAAATTGGAGCTATTGGAAAAGTGGGTGGGGCACCTCCCATACAAACCGAATTTTTCGTACTGCATATCTCTGGAAGTGTTCATGGTAGAGTTCTGGAATTTGGTATGGAGGTAACGAAATCAATCGCATACTTTTGGAGAATAATTGGAGCTATTGTAAAAGGGGGCGTGGCACCTCCCATACAAACCGAGTTTTTCATACTGCATATCGCTGGAAATGGCCATACTAGATTATTGGGACTTAGTATGGAGATATATGAAATCAATCGCATACTCATGAAGAAAAATGGGAGCTATTGGAAACGAGGGCGTGGCACCTCCCATACAAACCGAATTTTTATACTGCATATCTCTGAAAGTATTCACGTTACAGTACTGGAACTTCGTATGGAGATATGTATGTACAGTGAAACCCGCTTAAGTACCCCCCGCTTAAGTACCTAACCCGCTTAAGTTCCCAACATTTTTGGGCACCGTGAATTTTTTAATGTATTCTGAAGACAATCCCTCTTTTAAGTACCTCCCCGCTTATGTACCCAACCCGCCTAAGTACCTACATTTTTCGTACCCCATTTACCATTTTACTTATAATTTTCCCCTTTTAAGTGCTTTTTTTAAATTACTTCAAACATTTACATATTTTGAAATTCAGTGGCAGCGCTACACACCTTCGGCAAAAAAATTCTAAAAAATCAACGGCAATTTTTAGCCACTTGCAACTTG